CACTGAGCCAGCCAGGTGCCCCTCCAGTGCCTTGAGCTGCCACCTTCGAATGTGGGTTTTTCGGAGTCCCAGAAGGCAAGGCCTGCTGTGCTCCGGCGTCGTGTCCATGTGGTTGGGTTGCTGTGACATGCCTTAGGCTTCTCAACCCTAATGCAATTAAAACTGGTTCAAACCAGTTTAGTTCTAGTTTCCAGGAGCCATTTAAGCCCTGAGGAGCCTATCACAGTAGAATGTACAGACATAGAGAAAGAGCTGAAGGATTCAGTGCCTTGTCAGGCACCTGAAGAGTGGCAGAGGCAAGTTTTGAATAACTTGGGTCGGCTAACCATGGAGCCGCAGCTTTTCACCTGGGTTGTGCAGCAGCTTCATGCAGGATTGCTGGGACTCCTCTGAGACCCATTGAGGATACTGTTCTGCAAGTCAAAGGCAGCCACTGTGTTTCTGTCCAACCTCTATAGGTTAGACTTTGATTAAGAATCTCCTGAACTGTTTTTCGCCTCTCTGCTTTTCTTGGCATGTTTTATTTTGCCTTTGTTTGTTGGTGAGCAGCCCTTTGGTCATTAATGTTTTAGAAAAACCTAACGGGACAGCTGTGATGGAGAGGAAGACCCAGATTGTAAATAGCTCTTTTCTTGGGTTGCCAAAAAGGAAGACACTTGGGTGGAGGGGGATGTTCCTACCATCCTGTCTGAAGCTAAAATTCTAAGCAGAGAGGTTACAGTTCTCTGTTTTCATTTAGGTTTTATTTAATATATCCCCCACCCCCTCAAATTTCTAGATGGGCATTTAGATGAAATGCTAGGAAGAGGAAAAGCAGAAGAAGGGGGGAAGACCTCACTAGTTGGAAATGTTGCAGCTGAATGCAGGAAAGTCCTTACCTTTCTTCCTTGGCTTCTTAAATTGTTTCTAGGTGGTTCTAGTGCTGGTATAGGACTTAGTCACCTCTACACCGGAGAACATGGAGGTAAAAGTTAGAAAGTGAAAGAATGCATGCTCAGCCCTGCCTTTTTTGTTAAAAGGGAGGGCGGTTTAAGGGGCCCTGGGTGGCTCAGTTGGTTAAGCATCTGACCTCGGCTCAGGTCATGATCTCACAGTTTGTAAGTTCAAGCCCCACATTGGGCTCTGTGCTGACAGCTTAGAACCTGGAGCCCACTTTGGATCCTGTGTCTCCCTTTCTCTCTGCTCCTCCCCTGCTCATGCTCTGTCCATCTCTCTCTCCTTCAAAAACAAATAAACATTCAGAAAAATTTGTTTTTAAAGTAAGGGCAGTTTAAAGCTTAGTTCTCAGATCACTTTGGGACCTGAATTGAGATCGTTGCAGTGCTGGCACATTCCTAATGGAGTCTGAGGAGCTGACAGACCTGTGCTTCTGACTGCCTGACCCATTATTGGTATTTTCTTTTTTCCAGCTCCTTTTGCTTTACTCCAGTCATCTTGCTGTTGGGTTATTATTCCAGCCTTGTACTGCTATGTCCTTACCTCATCCTGTCATCCCAGTTAGATCAGCAAGTCCTTGGCCAAATGCCAAGAGCTTTATAGATGGGAGTTTTGGATCTGCCACTGGTTTGGGGCAAACAATTTGTTTTTTTATTCTTAGGTGTCACCTGTGTTTTAATGGAATGATGGTTTGTTGTCTGATGGGTCAGTTTGAAAATAAGTATGAAAACTGTACCTCCTAGGTTTTCCAGACCCATTTCATTTTCTGCCATTCTCATCATTATCAGGCACAAGCATATAGTTTTTGGTTTGGAAAATAAGGTTGTCATACATGGATGACAAAGAGGTATAATTGCTTTTAATACTTCGGAAGGTCCTGTAGGAATCCAGACTTAATGGAGGATGCGGGATACCAGGATGTACCCCAGGCTCCTGACCTTGTCACCAGCATCCTTAATTGACAGTGAACAAATAACCTGGATATGAAAGCATGCATATCATCTCTTTTCACTTAAAATTTATCTCAAGATTTTAAACCTAATGTAGACATGCTCATAAAAGCAGCCCAGATCACATATGTACAACCGTTTATTATTAAGTTTAGTGTTTTTCTTGGTTTTCTTTTCCCTATGCATAGGTTTTTTTCCCCTCTTTCTTTTAAGAAATTATTATTATAAAAATACATGAATGCATTCTCACTGGGTTTTAAACAGTGTGGTGGAATACAGAGCAGAACGTGAGAGGCCCTCCTCACCACCTATAGCGCCCCACCCCCCACCCCCAAGCATGCATTTCCTTTCCCAGAGGGAACCGCCATCAACACTTGGGGAGCCCTCTGCATATCACCATCCACCATGTGTGCGTGTACGTACACACCGCTAAAGCAGGGGCTCCTATTTTGTGTGCTGCACGATGCCACCTTCTTCTTCTTCTTCTTTTTTTTTAACCTACTCCTAACACAGTATATCTTGGGAAATCTTTCCATGTCAGGACACTTCGGTCCAACTCGTTTTCTTTCTTTTGTTGTTACTGTTAATGGTTATATAATAATTCTTTGTACAGGCACCCCTGATATTTAACTGCCCACCTATTGATGGAGGTTTTAGTTTTCACTCTTGTGTTGAAGCAGTCCTGTACAAGCATGTGCCTTTGTGCGTGTGTACAAGTGTTTCTGTTGAATGGTTGCCAGGAAGTGGAAATGCTGGCTCAAAGTGAGTGCCTATTTTTGGTTTCATGGATGCTGCCAATTGTCTTCCCAAAGGAATTCACTAATTCAAACTCATACCAGTGGTATAGAAGAGTGCTTGTTTTTCTGATCTTTCTAAACACTGTATTATTTTCATTTTTGTCGGTCTGATTGGTGAAAAGTAGTGTATGTTTATTTTTACTTTATTTTATGTAAAAAAAAAAATTTTAAGTAATGTCTACACCCAGTGTGGGGCTCAAATTCACAAGCCCAAGATCAAGAGTCACATGCTTCCCCTACCAAGCCAGCCAGACGCCCCAGTGTGTGATTATTTTAACTTCATTCTTCCAGGCTATGCCTCTGTAGAGCTGACCATGTCTGATTTGTGCTTTTTAGGAATTCTCAACATTGTCAGTTACTTGATGAATCTCTTCTTATTTTCTAGTCTGAATCTGTTTGTCTATTACCCGTTGGTGGTGTAGGGTAGGACTCATTTCTGTACTTCGTGGAACTTTAAACAGGAGATGGAGTAAACTTACGCATTGAATCTGCTATCCTGATTAGTTTCCTTTATAGATTCTTTCTATACAGTATTAACCATTTTGTTTCTTTTTTTCTCTTTAACATTATATTATAATCTCTTTTCTTATTACATAGCAATATAAGTTGTGGTATAAATATGATGTTCTACTCTATACTGCAGTTCCTCATCATGATCGTTTCTCTATTGATGGGCTGTTGGGTTATGCCCAAAATTTTATTGTTATAAATAATGCTGCCTCCAGTAATTCCTAAATATAGAAGTGGGTAGATAGCTGCCCAGCTGATCTGTGAACCAAGCCTAACATGGGTCCCATCTAGTAGCAATAACACAAAAAGCAGAAACTTTAGATTAGCCTCATTTATGAATGCAGTTATGAAAATCCTAAGTAAAATATTTCCAAGTAGATACTCTTAAGTACAGTTCACTAAGGTGGGCATAATGGATAATGGCCAAGTAAGTTTTATTGCAGAAGTGAAAGAATGCTCATTATTAGGAAATGTATTGATAACAACATATTAGTTGGTTAAATGTGAAAAACTGTGACTGTTTTCACAGACGCAGAAAATGCATTTAAATTAAACAATTTTTTTAAGTTTCTTTTTTTTTTTTTTTTAAAGTAATCTCTAAACCCAACACAGGGCTCGAACTCACAACCCCGAGATCAAGAATTGCGTGTGCCATCAACTGAGCCACCCAGGTGCCCCTAAACAACTATTTTTAATAACATTTTTAGAAAGAAAACAAAAGATACTTCCTTTACATTGTTACAGAGTGTTTACCTCATACTAACTACCAATGATAGAGACATTTGCATTAAAAGCAATGACAAAACAAGGCAGTCCTCCACTCCTTAATACTATTTTAGAAGCTCTGGCCAATGGAGGGGTGCCTGGGTGGCTCAGTCCGTTGAGCATCCGACTTCAGCTCAGGTCATAATCTCACGGTTCACAAGTTTGAGCCCCAGTCGGGCTCAGTGCTGACAGCTTAGAGCCTGGAGCCTTCTTCGGATTCTGTATCTTCCTCTCTCTTTGCCCCTCCTGTGCTCTCGTATTCTGTCTCTTTCTTTCTCTCAAAAATAAATAAAACACTAAAAAATTTTTTAAAGCAGCAGCTCTGGCCAGTGGAGTAAGGTGTGAAACAAAAGTAAGAATTACGGCTTTGAGCATTAAGATGACATTTCAGCCTCCTGGTATAATATTTCTGACTCAAACAAGGCATTCTCATTACAGATTTTGTTGTTATCTTCTATAGAGCAATAAGACATTCACAAAGGAAAGACCAGTTGTCTCTCGCATCTTAACACATGTGTCCTGGTGCTTTTATTAATGTGGGTTCTTTCATCTTGGTTCTTGCTGGTTAAATCATCTGGATTATCTGTAGGTCTATGTTGAAGTCTCTCTTAAGTCTTCAGTCCCCAGCATAGAGGTGGTGTTCAGTCAGTACCTATGACCAGCTGAATGGTTGGCTCATTGGTATTTTTGATGACCTTTTAATGAGTTCATAGAGTTCAGACATATGCCAGAAGAGAAAATGGATTCAATTAAAAAATAAAAATAAAAAGAGTGAAAAGGGTACAGATGAGCAAGCTCTTAAATGATGGCACCGTTGTCTTGGCACGTGACTCCTTGTTCAGCAAATGATTGTTTACCCTCAGTGCTGTGCATTTCTGTCGTAAATAGCTCCTGTCCTTTATCGGGAATCATGTGGCTGTAACTCTTCGGTTAAACACCACAGAGACTTATTTTCTAAGTAGCTAGCTGGCTCTGAACTTGGTTTGTGGTTTGTGACTTCAGTCTTTTTTTTTTTTTTTTTTTTTTTTTACCTCCTCTCTAGCATCTGGAGAGGGCCGAATGTGAACTGTGTTGACAGCACGGGGTACACACCTCTACACCACGCGGCTTTGAACGGCCATAAGTAAGTATTAACATGCCACATTCCTACCTTCCCCTTTAGAACCCAGGCCTCTGGATTGTCTTTTTTGATTCCTTGAAAGGATTACTAAGCAGTAGTGTTGAGGAACAGGGGAAAACTACATTCAGTATATCCAGAATTCCCAAGTTTCTCTTTAGTGTATAATGTAGGCATCCTTCTCCACTCCGCCCCCCAAAAACTCCAAAGTTTAGGTTTTACCTTTTCTTTTGTTTGTCCTTTTCTGCTTAGAAATAGTGTAGCACCACCCAGTGATCTGAATATGAAGGTCGTTTGGGGGCAGCTAGCCTGTAAAGGGGCTGGGTAGTCTGTTAGGTAACCAGCACCTTTGTAAACTGAAAATAGGTTGAGTGGTCCCTTCTGTTAAAGTAGTTAGTTAGTTATTTACTCTGTCTTCTTGCCTGCCATTCTTGCCTCATAAAGTTGGTCTTGTAGATAGCAAGAACCATTCTTAAGGTGAAAGATACATGAACCATATGGCCTATTTAATTCTCTTAGGTATTGATTAGTCACTGTTGAGAGTTTGTGCAGAAAGTTTGTCGGAGAAGCTGTGCTTCGGGGGAGTCTGAGAGAAGAGGACATAGGTTCAGATGGTGTGACAGCCTCTCCCGAGAGGTATTGCCCCACAAGTGAGAGAGAATGTGACGGCTCAGCCCCAGGGCATGCGCTGTATAGAGTCCAGTGAGTAGATTGGCCAGGATGTGGAAGAATGGAAACCAAAGTGTAACAGAATAGAGGGTGTCACAGAGAGTCTGAGGTATCATACTCTAGGATATAAGAAGTAGAGGTTCAGTCTTTATGAGGAGGGATTATTGGAACGATTTTCGATTTTGCTGAGCAAGGGGCAGGGCCGTCACCACCTTGCGGTAGGTATTCTGTGTTACCTGTGCAGTATTTGGCCCAGCTGGACTGACTCTGATGTGACAAAGAGAGGTAATGATCATTCCCTTCTACATCACACTCTTCTAAAGTATCCCGAATGTGATCATTCTGTCTTTTCTGTAGCTACCGTAGACAAAGCTGACAATAACTGTGGAGCCCCCTACCCCCATAACCAGTGCGGTGACCCAAATTAAAGTGAATCTTGAACTTAAGTGACCACAAATTGTTAGCCAAGTTTCTCTCCAGATGCTGTTGTTATTTACAGTGGGGGGGTTTCTTTGACCTCGTGTGCACGGGGTAATAATACATTTGTATCAGCTTGATTAACGGTGTCACCAAGAAAGCCAAGTCTTTCTTTGACGTATCAGATGATACCAGATGTGTCTGGCTTTTGTTCACGACAACTTTAATTCTGCTCTGCCTGTCTGCTTTAAGCTTCCATATCACTAAATGCTCTGAATAATGTGGTGAATAACGATATTTGTCTTGCATGACTACTTTTATGTAAATTTTATCCCTGAATGCTGTTTAAACATCACAAACAAGGAAACATTGCAAGGTTTATTAGACAATGGAGCCAGACGTTTTCAGAATAATGGAATATAGGTGGATTGTCTAGAAAGCCTAGATAAATGGGGAGGTGATGAGTCAGTGTAGTTTGGCTTAAGATCTTGCAGCCTCGTATCAGCAGCTCTACAAGTAGCTCAGGGTATAAAAGGAAGAGACTGGGTGATGAGCTCAGGTAGAGAGAGGGGAGCCACCTGAAAGAAGATCTGTGAAAGGACTTTGTGCTGAACAAATGGAAAGAGCTGTTTGTTCCTCAAACTCATGATTGATTTTTGCCTCCTAGGGATGTGGTTGAGGTTCTTCTCAGGAATGATGCTCTGACCAACGTGGCCGACTCTAAAGGCTGTTACCCTCTGCACCTGGCCGCCTGGAAAGGAGATGCCCAGATAGTGCGGTTGCTCATCCATCAAGGGCCCTCACACACCAAAGTCAATGAACAGGTCGGAAGGAAGAGAAGCATTCTATTCATCTGCGGCCAGACCTTGGCCCCAACGCTGTGTCAGTTCCGTGGTGCACATCTCAGGCAACCGGCTCTTCCAGGCCCTTCAGATGGTTCCCCTCCTCCCAGCACTACTCCTCCCAGCGCACCAGGGGGATCCTGTACCCCCCCGAGGATGCACTTTACATGCGTTTGAATCGTGCAGATTCGACGTAGCGCTATAATAAAGATCTAAATACCTGCTGTGCAAAATTGGAGATAATGCAGAGCCTACAAAATTGCTTCAAGGCCATTTCAAACTGGCAGGCTTAATTAATTCTAAGTTGTGCTTATGCCACCAAAATGGTAGTGCAACTCTAGCTGGTAAACAGCAGTCCGCCCAGAGCATGTCAGTACCGTGCAAACCCTGCTGCTGTTTTACCTATATCAAAGGTGGAGGGGCTTCATGCCGGTGTTGACAAAGGAGCTCATGAAAACATCTCAGTGGAGGTCAGAGGTGATTCACCAGAATGAAAACCAGTTACGTGAGGTCCCGCAACGTCAATTTAAGAGTGACCGTGCTTTGACAACAGAGAGATCAGTCTTAGAAAATAAAAAAGGCAGCATTTGAGCAAAAAGACCATGAAATGGCCATGGATTTAGGTACTCTGAGACCACACCTCCTCTTCGTTACATTTATTCCTTTGGAAAAGTTATGCTTGCATTGTGGGAGTCCTGGGCAGTCCTCTCAAGATACCGTTTCCTAGAGTTCAGATGTGAGTGTGTGTCCATTTGAGAGGAGGTGGGCTTTCCCTGTGTGACAAGCCATTGTGGTTTCCTGTCTGCTCTGAACTGAAGCAGGTTCTTTTCCTGGCTGCTTGAATGAGAGGGAGGCCACTCTTTCTCAGGAAGCTCAGGACTATTTGCCTAATGACTCTGCTGAGAGGAGGCTGTTAAATTACCTATAGAATTAGATGAGGGTTGTTCCTCAGAAAATAAGAAATCATTCCTGCCAGCCCATCTATCATCAAGGCTCTGCATTTTCTCAGGGAGCTGTTAAGAGCTTGACTTTGACTCAGAGAAGGGCAGCTTCACTCTGAGGTTTGAGAAAATTAAAGCAGGGCTCCCAAATCTCTCAATTTGGAGATGGCACATGTGTAGCTGTTCATCAGCTTCCCTTTCCCCTTTTAGGCTGAATTTTCTGGATAGGTAAGCAACAGAAATTTAAGATCATCAATGAGGATGTTTGTTTTCTAACATTAGGAATGAAAATGGTCTCTAGAATTGCCTCTTTAGAAGCTAAATGCAATTTTACTCCTCCTGGCTAAAGTGATAGTAATTTCTCTTAGCTGGAGGAGATTTACAAGGATGTTTGCTTTTAACTAATATTCCTTAATGTTGAAAAATCTAGTCACCCATTAAAGTCCTTCTCATTTAAGAAATTTTCGGCAACCCTTTCTAATCCTGTCTTTGCTCACGTTTGCCTTGGAACACAGCTGCTTGGATTTTTGAGCCACTTGAGTGTGCTAGCTTGCCCTGCTCACAGCTGCCTCCTGCCCAGAGTGTCTGTTGATAGGTGGGACACCAGCCGAGTGTTTTGGGTATCTGGCAGGCAGGTGGGTGGGGCAGGGATTGGGCAAGATGTCTGCAGTGCTTGGAGAATCTAATGGATCTAGGTTATATAGTACCACATTGATTTATTTAAAAACCATTAATGTGGTTCCAGTTGGATGCTTGGATGAGAGGCGGTGTTGTGTGCTGTGCCCTCAAGGCTGCCTTCCCTATTAGCTTCCTTTCCAGGCACTCAGAAGGCCCATGCAAGTTGTTCTTGTGTTGGGCCCCCTCAGGGCTGGGCATTGCTTTGATATATTTCATCCACTTTATTGTCACATTTTCTTTTCCTCTCCTTTTTATAGAATGCTCTTGAGATCAAAGAATTCAAAAAGTACGGCCCCTTTGACCCTTATATCAATGCCAAGGTGTGTACTTTGCCGCCAGGATTTCGCTGCATCATTTCTTCAAGCTGCACCCCCTCTTTGGTCCTCTCTGGCTTCCACTCTTATCCACCCAGGCTCCTCATCATCACTCTGACTTTGTGTGCTTCAGCCCATCTGCTTTTGGCTTGTCTGGGAATGGGAAATTGCAGCTTCAGTGGGTTTTGGTTTTATTTTTAAAACCCATGCTAATTCTGGAAAGGTTGGGTCCTTTTCCCAGAATGTCTGAAAAGCTTAGAAATGGCCAAAATGGGGAAATAGAAGGAGCCATATTATATGCATAATTTACCATTGTGATTGCTAAAATCATTTAAATTCAAAAATGAAAAATCCAATGACAAGATGTCAAATACATTAGCTTACTTAATAATAAGCACAGAGAATGATTAAATTGTACTTACTAGATGAAAGATTTTAGTCTGGGGACGCCTGGGTGGCTCATTCGGTTAAGCGTCCGACTTCGGCTCAGGTCATGATCTCATGGTTCATGGGTTCGAGCCCCGCATCAGGCTCACAGCTAGCTCAGAGCCAGGAGCCTATTTCCAATTCGTGTCTGCTTCTCTCTCTGACCTTCCCCTGCTCATGCTGCCTCTCTCTCTCTCTCTCTCTCTCTCTCTCAGAAATAAATAAAAAATTAAAAAAAATTTTTTAGTCTGTTTTCTCTCTTTTGAAGTGGAATCTCATTTTCAGAAGCTGGTAGTGGAGGTGTTGGGGACGGGGCATAGTGACTCCATTTTACTCTTAAAAGTTATCACTTGTGGCTCCTTCCTCATTTCTTTGAGTGTGTGCATTTCTGCCTGGGACTTTATAGATACTTTTTTTTTTTTTCTTTTTTAATTTATTTTTGAGAGAGCATGAGTAGGGGAGGAACAGAGAGAGAGAAGGAGACACAGAATCTGAGGCAGGCTCTAGGCTCTGAGCTGTCAGCACAGAGCCCAGTGCGGGTTGAACTCACAAACCATGAGATCATGACCTGAGCCGAAGTCGGACACTTAACCAACTGATCCAGTCAGCGCCCCTTCCTGGGGCTTTAAAGCCTCAGTTGTTTCTTCCCAGCCATTAGCTTCTCTCACTGCTTGGTGACTCTTGGCTGTTGGAAGGGCTCTGAAATAGGAAATAAAGTCACAGAGTCAAGCAGGACACCGGCCTCGAGTCTCCCTCCCTGTGAGGCTGGGGTGAGTCATGGTCTGGTACACTTGGCCATGAACTGCCGGGCCCCTCCAGGCCAGGAGGCAGAGTTCATGGGTTGGTGATGGTGAGCCTCTCTCCATGCTCTCGCCTGCTGGTTTTGAGCCGAGTTTTCATTCAGGCGAGGTTTGCTTTCTGGCACCAGTCTGGAGTTTGGTTGAGTCAGTGCATTATTCACATTAGCTGCCTTTCACTTGATCTGAAGACAGTAGCCTCAGGGAAGGGAAACATAAGGTACTTCTGTACATTTCTGAATACAAGGCAGATATTCTTTGAGAAATAATGATTTAGCAAATGAAGCTCCCTGTGAGCTGGATCTAGGCAGCCTCTATTGGCCATTTTCTTCAGCTCTTGGGCCTTGATGGTGGAGAAGCAGCATTTGATCTGGGGTAGTGGAATACATTGGCTTTTGTTTGGTCCACTCTCTTAAATTTTGCTAACTTGCAAAATAGGAAGATACCCTATCATAGTTTTCTTCTTGTTTTGGACATGTTATAGTAGAGAAAACTCTGAAAGGTCAAGGTCACGGTCTTTCAGGTCAGATCTGAGTTTGAATTCCGTGCTGCCACTTACTGGTTTTGTTGACTTAAATAAGTTACTTAATTTCTGAATTTCTTAATTACTGAATTTCTGAATTCTGAATTTCTGAATTACAGGAGAGTCTCAGTGTCCTCTTCTGTAAAGTCGGCTATACCATCTACTTTGCTGGATAGTTCTGGAGTTTAAGATAATGCATATTAAGTAAAACTATCTGGTAACTAGTAATATTCAAGATCTGAATTTTAAAAAGTATATGGCAGTGTGATATTTCTGAGACGGCAATTTGGAATTTATTCTTTGTTACTAGTGGACTGATGCTTAATGAAATATCACTCACTTAGTCTCTTCAGGGTTTTGTCTTGTGGGGAAGGCACCTTGAAATGATTGTTTTCCCACCCAGTGGTTAGTTCAGTTAGCGTATAAAGCTCTGATTAAAGGGCAAGTCTTTGGTCCTTGAAACCACATTTTCTTATCCCTTGATTTCCCACACATAAAAGAAAATTGGTCTAAATGGAATAAGAACATACTTCTCTTTTTGGAAATACTGGCCTTTGCCTCCCTCACACCCCTCAAAGACTAAGTGATGCATACTGCGTTAAGGGATGAAGCTGTTTGGGTTTTCCTATGAACGCAGACTCTCCTTTAGCTGATTTAAATCTAACCTCCCTAGCTTTTATCGTGGTTTAGTGGGTTTTTATTGACCTGGATTGTGTCTGGGAATTGTTTTGTGAAAGTACATTTGTGCGTGAAGTCCTGTCAGACACCTGTAGAAATTAAGAAGTCTCAGGTGCCTTTCCTGGGAGCAGAGGTCATTTTCATGAGATTTCATCTTCCTCTTCGACATACGGAGTCTTTTCAGCCAGTCAGCATAAGCTAGTCCAGAACATAGGTCATCCTTAGCTAAGGTGGAACTATTACAATTGTTCCTTTGCTCCCTTTTAAAGCAATTTTAACTTAGTGTGTATGTCATAAGGTGAGCAACAGTCAAATTGGTTTTAGGATAGATCTGTTTTTCTGTACACTTAGAAATAATTGAGTTTTAGAGCCGGAAGAGACTCAGAAGTTGTCGAACCAGCTGGCTCAATATTCTGATCAGCTTGCCTGGTTGAATCTGAATCCCCTAGCAAGCCTTTATAAAACTTGTTATTTTTTGGGGAAAAAAAAAAATGTCAACTCCCAAAAGTTGCGGTGAACTTCATTAGACTCCTTACCCCAATTCACCAGTTTTTAACATTTTGTCGCATTTGCACGCACATTCTCTCTCTCTCAAATATATATGTTTATTGTTGCTGTAGTTGATGAGTTGATATTTAATCATGGACATCATGACCCTTTTGCCCCAAATACTTCAGCCTGTATGTCCTAAAAAACAAGGGCATTCACTTGTATAACCACAGTACAGTTATTAAATACAACAAATTCAACATTGTTACAATACTGGTATCTAACATAGAATCTGTGTTTGAATTTCACCAATTCCCTCAATAATACCCTTTAGAGCAAATTTTTTTTCCCTGGTCCAAGATCCAGTTCAGGATCATACATAATCTGGAACAATTCTTCAGCCCTTCTTAGTCGAAATTTCATGACATTGACTTTTTCTCAACTGCAAACATTATATCCCTGGGACCAAACCACTGGCCTTTTAGTTAATAGCTGAACACGCTACCCAGTTGCCACAGAGACCAACAACAGGGACAGTTGCGAAGAATATAGATCAGTCATTTTGCAGATTTTCCCTCAGTTTGCATTTGTCTCCTATGACTAGATTCAGGTTGTACAGTTTAGCAGGAATGCCACAGGAGTGGTGTTATATTCTTTCCTTTGTAGACATGCTTCAGGTCACAAGGCACATGATGTCAGTTTATCTTACTTTTTACGATAATAGATGATTGCTTGGTCAAGTTGGCATTGGTAAGCTTTTTAATAATAGTCTTCTTAGGCTTTACCTTCGGAGGTGCTACCTTGGCAAGTCTGGGGTGGGACTTGGTTACTTCTACCCTCCCATGTAATTCCAAAATGAAGCCAGCTGGAGAAGCACTGATCTAGACCAACTTGCCATCTGGAACAGAAATCCTTTTTGCTCACCTGAAAGATTAGCCATCTACCCCTTGTTTTGTTTGTTTGTTTGTTTCTCTAGGTAACAGACTTACTACCTGGCAGCCTCTTTTCGGATTCCACTGATGTTTGGTTTCTTATGCTGGGTGATGCCTGTCTTCCTAAACCTTCCATCTGTTGGTTAGAATTTTGCCTTCTAGAGCACTATAGAGTGAGCCTAGCTCTTCTTCCACAGGGACTCAGTTCTTACGTTTCTCCTGTGTCTTCTAAATCTCAGTAAGCCCACTTTGTCCTTCTGTTCCAATTTTGGTATATTTCTGGGACCTATACCATTGTTGCTACGGACAGCTGAAGCTTAGGTGTTTCTAACTTAGGTATCTATCAACCATGGACAAGAGTACAGTTGGGCTGTAATGTAAGCACTGGGAAGTGATGGCCCAGAATAGTTCCAAGAGGAGAAAAGCCATGGAAATGTTTCTATGTAGTTTCCTACTGCTTGTAGTTTATGTGTATGTTATATAGACAATGCATAAATATAATGGATTTACACATTAAATGGGGTCTCCATATATAAAGGGTTTGGGGATCTCTTTTCTTAGAGGTACTGAGTATAGCAAGGGGAAATGAAAATGAGTCTCAAAATGGGTAGGAATGGACAGTTTGTGCAAACCTTTGGGGGGAAATTGGGGTGTTTGATCTTAGTCTCCTTTCTCAGTCCAAATACATAGTAGTAACAGGATTCTGGGAATTCTTGAGGGGCTCTAGAGTGTGAGAGAGGAGGATTCTGGGTCGTTAGGAGTCTGTGCTCTCCTTTGGAATTCTTCCCTTTCTTCGGGGTCCATGAATCAATACTTAGTGACTTTCTCCCTTGATAGTTGTCAGGCTCAAAGGGGGAGTGGTAGGTAGAGCTCATCGTGATGGCCTGTGTTCAGTAGTCAAGAGACGGGGTAACCACAGACTAGAAGAGCATTTTAGTTAGCAGACCATGTCTGGCAAGACTGAAGCATGAGTAAGATGCTTTCTACAGTGTGGATTTGAGGACAGCATTCTGCAGAGATGTGGTTAGGCCATTTTTACCAGAGGCTGGAAATTTGCTTGGTAGTGATCAAGACCTTGCTTACAGGAAGGCAGCTTTGTGATAGCTGCCTTAGGTCTAGCAAAAAAAATAAATGGAAGATTTTCCTTTTTCCTCCTGCTGGATAGGTTAGACAGTTCTTCAGGCCCTCGTGGTGTACCTTTTACAAAATTGAGGGCAGATTATTCTGCCTGTCGGGAGACAACCTGGATATAAAAGAGACAGCACTGTCTGCTTCAGAGTAAACACATTTTTCTGGATTGGAGTTTTAATAAGAATAAGCTGACTTTCTCGGCCCAGCTGTCATGCTAATCTTGAGATGTAAAGCCCTGCGAATCCTCTTACAGCTTCTTTGGGTTTGCCACTCTGCTCTGGAACCCCTGAAAAGAAAGCTCTGGTGCGTTTTGTTGACGTAGCTGCCTTTCGTCCTGAGAAAGTGAAGCGACAGCTCTAAAAGCTGGCCCAGGAAGCTCATGCTCAGTCGGGAACAGGCACTCCAAATGTGTGTCTTAGTGGCTAGTTTGACACCAGGAATCCCACACATGTGCTTTCTGCCCAGTTTCCCCTTCCTCCAGACTTTTAGGTTGACGTGGAATCTGCCCCTTGGGCGCAGTTATAACACAGGAGGCCATTGCTAACTGGCTGTGACCTGTGGCCCAGTGAAGGCTGGCTGCGCTCAGCTGCTCATCTCCTTGAGCCGTGTTTGAGCTCAGTGCTGCTTCCTCTGTTTATCTGTGTGCATTTGCCTTTGCATGTGCCTCCTGCTACCACCTTGTCTGTCCTTATTTCATTAAAACATTTTTCTTCGCTATCATTCTGGCCTTTTGGGGCCTCAGTCCCAGCACCTCTGGATCTTTCTGGTACACTTGGCGTAGCTGGAAAAAATGATGCAGTCAAATGCCAGATCAAAAGCAGATGGAATTGCATGCATGTTTGGGTAACTCCTGGTCTGTTACTTTTAATGTAATTAATAGAATTAACGCAGTTGTGGAGACGTTTCATTTTTACCTTTTGATCACTGAAAGGTGCACAATATTGACTTGATGGACACACCACCTAGTAAGTTTTGTTTCTCTAAGGTGGCAGAAGCCTCCTGAATAAATTTAGGAATCTCAAAATCTTGTGGGAGAATTCTTTTCATTAGTGCATCAAAAAAAGGAGGTCATGGAAATTCCTTTATTCCTGCTCCACTGATACATTGTCAGTAGTGGTAAAAGAAAAAACACAATTGAAATGATTAACATTTTGCTTCTCATGAGCAATGAAGCACAAAATTCTCCTGTTCCACCTCAAGTTCTACCTTTAGTTTGAAACAAAATTGGCATTAAAGGACCATGGGGGGTGTGAATTCGAATGGATGGCCATGTTACAATTTTGAATATTTTGCACCTCTCACAAAGCATTCCAGGGCCTGATTGAATCTTTCTGACATAAAAAACCCTTCCCTGCACTGTAGGTTCCGCATGCTTTGATTGGTGCGGGCTCCTGGAGTAGCCACAGGGTGACATCGGGCCCGTGTTCCTCTGGGACTGGGCTCAAGTGCCTCCCTCCCCTGGAAATGGCTGTTGGCTGATATCTTGAGAGTGATTTTTGGTGCTCTGCTCTGTTACTGTGATCATTGACTGGTTGATTTGCATGCGAGACGCTATTCAGATGACAAGCTCTTTTGAAAAAGCTTGTGTGTAAGGCAGCCGACATCAACAAATCCAGAATCCGAACTACAGGGTTGACTGAATATAAAGCATAAAACCAGTCGAAGTTTAGAATGAGCCAATGGCAGTGATATGATTGGCATTCACGGGCACCAGGGCGTTTGCCCAGGGCCCGCCACACTCTCTAGTTCACTCTCCTTGTGATCTGTAGACACTTCCTTCATGGCACACATGAGGAGGCTGTACGCAGGAGGAGGTGACTCCCCTCCAGCAGTCACCGGGACACATCGTGGGTGATCGGAGAGGTTGGGCTTGTTCATCAGGGAGTACATCTGGATTCTGACTGACGCCTCGTAGTCCCCAAATATCGCTGCTATTTTTCTCATTTAAACTTCAGCGGTTTTACGTGTGATCGCCCCCGTTACACTCTAGTCGTCCAGTTACCTTTCTGATGTGATCTACTTGTTAACTCTTTAGAACAACGACAACGAGACGGCCCTGCATTGTGCAGCGCAGTACGGCCACACGGAGGTGGTGAAGGTCCTTTTAGAGGAGCTAACAGACCCCACCATGCGCAACAACAAATTCGAGACACCGCTGGACCTGGCAGCGCTGTACGGGAGACTGGAGGTGGTGAAGATGCTCCTGAATGCACACCCCAACCTCTTGAGCTGCAACACTAAGAAGCACACGCCCCTGCACTTGGCAGCAAGGAATGGTCACAAAGCCGTGGTCCAGGTCCTCCTGGACGCCGGCATGGATAGCAACTACCAGGTAGCGGGGCAGGGGTGCCCCCCGGGCTCAGGGGCCTAATCGTTTTGGAAAAGGCACAGGGGCCATGCTGCTGGGCTGTGTTCTTATGTAGCACGTTTCACCCCACATGTCAGACGCTTCCATTCGTCGACTCATTTTAATGTGTCGCTTCAGAGACAAACTCCTCAAGTGAGTCTGTTATTTTTTGTCCTTCTTCTCTTCAGGGGTAATCTGTAGTCATTATGCCCTGAAAAGATGTACTTGTGGACTCTCTCTGAAGATAAGAAACATTTCATTATCTTCCTATACATGCGTTCCCACTGCTGCTGTTTGCCTCCTGCCAAATCCCATCAACTTGAGCTCTTGAGCTCACTGACAGGAGACTTGGCATTTCCCTGGGGGGTTAGCTTTCTCCACTCCGGTGAATGGCCATTCTTAGGCTTCACGTTGACCAAACCACATGTGCAGTTAAGGTGGTTTTTCACCCCCAAGTACTCTTCTTATTAGCCCTGCCACCCGGGAAGGTGGACTTTTGAGGAGTTTCGCCAGTAGGTGGCTCCAAGAGTTGCTGCACAGTTATTTACATGTGGCCTGCTGGTAGCACTTCAAACACACTTTGCATATGGGCCACGGTTGTGGTTTCGGAATCCAGGCAAGGAAAGTGGGAAAGATAATGACAGAGAACTTTGTGTGGTTTATTTTACTTTCCCGTCCCTTCTTGTCCATACCCTGTTGGTCGTATGGAGCCACGCCAAACCCGGGTCACTGTTCTGATGACATGCCGCTCTGCGCTCTCGTTTGCTTTCCAGACGGAGAAGGGCAGTGCTTTGCATGAGGCTGCTTTGTTTGGCAAGACCGATGTGGTGCAAATCCTGCTGGCTGCAGGTGAGAGGTCGGCAGCGCTCTTGTTTACACAGCATGCCAGGGTTGGGGTTGTTTCTCCCTAGCCTCCCTGGAAGGGGATTTTTGCTGGCTGCACCCAAACCCAATGTACGTACGTCTCCATTGGTTGACTGCAAGTGTACGAATTGTTCTTGAATAGCTGGATTAAATAGCTTTGGATGAAAAATGTTGGTTGTGCTACTAGGAGCATTGGGTGTCCTGGAACTTGATCCTCTTTGAGGCTGACTTGAATCTGCTCACTCCCCTGGTCCACCTGGTATGCCTTTCTAGGAATTGATGTCAACATCAAAGATAACCGTGGACTGACTGCCCTAGACACTGTACGGGAACTCCCTTCTCAAAAAAGCCAGCAGATAGCAGCACTGATCGAAGGTAACAGTTCATCTGCCTGTTGGGGCTACCGGGGGACACACTGGCCAAACCAAGGCATTTGTATTTGGTGCAGCTCTTTTCTGTCTTCCCGGGTAGATCACATGACAGGAAAAAGAAGTGCAAAAGAGGCAGATAAAACCCCCACCTCCCAGGGACCTCTCATCTCCAGTATGGACTCCGTATCCCTGAAGTCTCAGGGTAAGGTGGCTTTTCTCTACCAGGGCAGGTGCTCTCAGCTTGAAGACTTGAACGGGCTTTGGTAGAATGGAAACATCTTCATTTAAGTAATAATTTCAGGGGGTTGGGAGCACTTAACGAGCTCATATCCAAATGTATTGTTTTATTGGACATAGCTTAGGCCTTTGACTTCGGACCTCTTCTTTTCTACTTTATTTTATTCTCCACATTTACGCTTGGCTCTGTGAGGTCTGTTCTGGGAAGTGTTGTAGGTGAGATGATCTCAAGGTGAATTCAAACCTCAAGGAAACCCTTTTCTCACACACACTGTCATGCTTTGGGCATAGTTGGCCCACCTTCAGTATTGAACAAGTGTCAACTGGTTGGTAGATATGTATACAGCAGATTTTGGTAATATGTCACTTGGCCAACAAATGTGGTCTGGGTGCTCCTTAAACAGTCTAGCCTCTCCATCGTTAGCCACAATCTACCTTCTCAGATTTATTGAGCAGCCTTCTGGGTCCTAGGTGTGATGAGTGAGAAAGACAAAGTACTGAATGACGCCTTCCTTCAGACACAAGCACAGTAAAGAAAGCCAGGAGGCCGGAGGAACAGAACAAAGCCAGACCTGAAAAGGGAAAGGGATTTTTCAGAGGAGAGCAGAGGTTATAAGGAGAAAGGGTGCTCAGCCTGTCTCTACTGTGGAGTCCTTGCTACCCCCACCCCCACCACCCCCACTGTCTTCCTTGACCTCATAATCCCCTAGTAATGGGATTAGGAGTTCACTAAGCTCTTAGCTTTCAAGGATTTTACGATTACAGTGTGACTATTTGTCAGAGACCCAGAGATCTCTGGTCCACAACAGTCGGTGGGTTTTCAGGGTCACAGATTTGGACCCCAGGTACTCTGAGGTGTGTAGTTCTCTGGTGAGTGAGTTTAACCTTGCACAGTGCCTCCATCTCAGAACGGCTTCATGGCCCTTTATTTTGTTGGAGCATAGGAAGGTTTTTATTAAGAATTTAAAGGGTCCCTTAAGTTTCCAGTTACACTTGGCTACATTTTATGGTTTAAGTTTACTCTATCATGGTATTAAGGTTCTTGGAAATTTATAAAGGACTTGGGAGGTATCTCTCCTAGATGTCAGGATTTGCCATGTTGAATTAGAGGAAAAATCTCCTGAAGTGTCAGGGTATAAGGAGCAACTGAAAGTACTTATTCCTATCTGTGGAGCAAAATAGTTTTCTGCTTTTGGTTATTGTTTGTCAAGTTCAGGTTGATGAGGGGCTCTGAGTGGTTGTAGTGGTCAGAGATCCGAGCTTGTGCTCTCCGTCCCTTAACTCTTGCTCTCTCCCCTGTTCAGGTGACATGGAGAAAGCAGTGGCCGAACTGATCATTGATTTTGACACAGACGCCGAGGAGGAGGGTCCCTACGAGGCGCTGTACAACGCTGTCTCCTGCCATTCATTGGACAGCATGGCCAGCGGGCGATCGTCTGACCGAGACTCCGTGAGCAGGGAGGCTGAGGCAGCGGGAGTGAGAGCTGCTGGAGTGAGGCCTGTACGTGGCTCGGGGCTCACAATGAGACGGGTGCTGCGTGGTCAGCCCATGCTTCGGGGGTGGGGGGGTGGGAGGGGGTGTGCCCCTAGTGCCGGCTGCCTTTGTGGAGGCCTGCGTCCTCCTCCCCCATTTTCTGGGACTTTGCCGCACCTCCCTCTTGCTTAGTGTGATTAGCTGTATAGATCGCCTGGAAGTAGAATTTTGGTTTTGCTGATTTCAATATAACATGTTTCCATTGTTTCTGTTAGTTTTTGGCCATAGAGCACATCAAAGCATTTTATTTCTGTGTAGCTTAGTGGCTGCTTCTGTCCCTGGGGTCTTTGCCATATACTTTTCTCTCTGGAGAGCAGTTCCACAGTGCGAGAGCTCACTGAAGCAAGCTGTTCTCTGCTCTGAGTGCATTCTCACCTTCTATTTGCCATCCAAGCGTTATCCACTTGGACCTGGACAGATTCTGCACTCAGCTGGCTTGTAGCAAGTCTTAATCAGATACCACGTGTGTTAGGAAATGACAGCCCTTTTTGTCCTGGCCTTTTCCTTCTCAAGGTCCGCCTTCCCATCTTACTGCTTCTTTCTCTGGTACTTCTGCTTCCACTCTCATAGACTGTTCTCAAGACCTTTTATTTCGGGGCACCTGGGTGGCTCAGGTGGTTGAGTGTCCTCTTGATTTAGGCTCAGGTCATGATCGAGCTCCATGTCAGGCTCCATGCTGTATGTGGAGCCTGCTTAAGATTCTCATTCATTCTCTTTCTCTCCCTCTTCTCTCCCCTCTCCCCCCAGTCTACCCTGGTCACTCTCCCTCTGCTCGCACTCTCTCTCTCTAAAAAAAAAAAAAAAAAAAAAAAACCTTTTTATTCCTTTTTTCTCCCTTGCGGTTTTACTCTGAACCCAAGCCTCAATCAGTGGTCCCATCGAACTTCCTTCCTACATGGCCAGCCACAATAATTCGAGGTTTTGAGCACCACATTTTTACTACACTGGCCATTGCTCTAGTAGAACCCCAGTGGCTCCCAGCTTGAGGCATATTTCCAGGTGTATATTACTTCTTTCTATTGGAGAGGCTGGCCTTTCCCTTTTGGTTTGAATTTGCCTTATGATCATTTTGATGAGCCTTCGATTGCTGAATGATCCTTGGGTTTTTCAGATGTGCTCTGGGAATGGCCTGATGTTTCTTAGTGTTCTCTTTTGTTAGGCTCCTGGAGTGGACCTAGAATAGTCACAGCATTTCTGTGTGGATTTTAGAAAAGCCCATCAGTCTTGCGGTTCCCCACTAGAGTAGTAGGTATTATCAAGGGCCGATGCAACTCCTGTGAGTGGCGGGAGCACACGTGTATGCCAAGCACCCCTGGCATGCTGCTTCTGTAGACAGAGCTGGTTTGTCTCACTTTCGCCTTAAGCACAAGGAATTAAGCAAATCCACCTGTGGAGTAAGGCATTGTTTTGTGGCACTTACAGGTTATGCCCATTAGAGGGAGCTAGAGACCTTACAAGAAGAACTTAGGGTTCCAAAAGAAAGCTTTGAATAACCAAGTTCCTGTGGGCTTAGCCACTGATTTATAATCTCTTTGTTCCGTCCCACTCCAGGAATCTAGCCATCGAGGGTCTTGCTAAGTAGAAACGGATGCCTCTTGGGGTACATGCTTTGTCATTTTTACTTTAATATGTTGTGGCTGTGCCACTACCTTCCTGGCCCTTAACAGTGGCCAAGGGACTGCTCTACATCTTACAAATGCAGTGGATGGTGTGTATAAATCAGCTCTGCCCTTACAGGTCCCTGGGCCAAAGTTCTCACGTTAGAAAAAAGAGACTGCTGCTTCTCTTTTCTTCCAGTGTCCCTGGTGACCACTTCTTGTGCAGGAGGTATTCATATTGTCCTTTCTAGGCTCCTTGAGTCTTGAGAAGGCTTCTAGAATGGGTCCTTTTGATCGTTGTTGTGTTTCATTTTGTCTTTCCACAGGTATTTTTGTCCCAAGGTTGGATAATTGGTGTAGATTATAGGCCTGCTCCTTTTGTGCTTCCCCTCTGTATGAGGTGGCATATGTAAGGGACCAGGGTTGTTCCTGTACTTCTGGAGTAAACACGGATTGGGAAAGCGGGACTTAGTGGGAAATCTGATCTAAGAGCTTTGTTAGGCTTAAAAATACGAACCTGTTTTGAAGTGGTTGCCTTTGGGCATCCATCTGGTTCCAGGGACTATAGGAGTGACTGACCAAGCTAGAATACCGAGTGCACAAGCATGTTTAGCAGAGGGAGATCATGGGTGCCAGATGCCAACTAACCCTGGCGGCTCCTGAGACGCGGGAGACAGCTTGCAGACATCTCTGAGGCTCTCCTGTAACTCGGCATGTGTCCCCACTCTGACTTTTCAACAATACTGCTGTTCTAGCAACACAGTGAACTAACGTGCAAGCCGGGGAATGAGCCTACAAGCCAGTTCGCCTTTCAGGTTCCCGCTCCTTTCCCTGTAGGAACATTGATCATGAAAGCATGATTAGGACTTTGGGCCAGAAACGATGCTGACAGTACCTGCAGGTACAACGGCAAACCTCTCTGCAGCTTTCTGTCACCAAAGATTGTATGTATGTCTGAAATTGTCTACCCTTGACCTGACTAATCCCTGCTTCAGGGTGTTTTTTGCTGCAAGACAGGGAATGGCCAAGTATGGCCCATAAATAGCTGCCCGTTTTTGTGAATAAAGTTTTATTGGAACACAGCCACACTTGTTGACATGTTTTCTGTGGTTACTTTTGTACTGCAGTGGCAGGGATGACTGCAATCCCTAAAATATTTGCTGTATGACCCTTTAAGAAAGAGTTTGCTCTTGGGAAGGTAACTGACAAATAGTCCTTTTTTAAATGGGCTGAGATGAAATAGGGTTTTCTGGGGTGCCTGGGTGGCTCAGTCAGTTAAGCGTCCAACTCTTGATTTCAGCTCAGGTCCTGATCTCATGGTCGTGAGATGGAGCCCTGTGTCAGGCTCCACGCTGGGCCTCTCTGCCTCTCTCTCTCCCTCCCTCCCTCTCTCTCTCCCTCCCTCTCTCTCTCTCCCTCTCTCTCCCTCTCTCTCCCTCTCTCTCCCTCTCTCCCCCTCTCTCCCCCTCTCTCCCTCTTTACCTCTCCTGTGTGCACATGCGCCTTCTCTCTCTAGCTCTTGCCCTTGCTCTCTCTCTCTTTCAAAATAAAAAAATATATATACAGGATTTTCATATGCTAATGATACATAATAATAATTGTTGAAAGAGGTAACCAAGGATAAGAGACCAGTTCTGAGCTTTGGGGAATAAACTAGAAATTGTGGGTAATATTAAAGTTTAAGCAGGAATTGGTGTTTTTGTCCTTGATTCCCTTCGTCATTACTTCCTTGATAGCTTTGGTTTGTTAGAACTCTTTGACAAGGTTTGCTCTTGGGAGTTCCTCTCTTTGACGTACACTGACAGTTGGCTGCTTTTCCTAGGCTAGAGTTTTATTAGTGTTATGAAGGACATTTTCTGACCAGGCAGTTGCGTGCTTTCAGTGTTGGTATTTCTCACTGTGGTCTAGAATATGAAAAAAGTATATAACCTCTGCTACAAACATCCAAAAGTGAAGAGCATGCTGACTGAATTTTGTGTTTGGGTGTGTGTGTGTGTGTGTGTGTGCGCGCGCGCGTGCGCACAGGCACACACATGTGCACGTGCAGATACTAAGCCATCTGTTCAGATACTGATCCTTGAGTGTCGTCTCTCAGGGGGATTCTTTACATTACTCTTTTTCATTTCCAAGGGCTAAGAGAAGAATAAATCAGAAAGTTAGATACTTGAAAAAAGAGATCATGAAATACTTTTTCTCTTCTACAGAGGGAACGTCCACCGCCTCCAGCAAAGCCACCACCCGATGAAGAGGAGGAAGACCGTATAGATAAGAAGTATTTTCCATTGACAGCTTCTGAGGTAGAGGCTTGAGGGTTTATTGCCATCACTGAAGTGCGAGTTTTTGGAAGGTCCATCAATGTGTGCTTAAAGAAGCCTTTGCTTTCTTGCTTTCTTAGCGCCTCTTTGGATTAGTAAATTTGTATTGCGTTCATCAGTGGTCTGGAACAAGATCTTTCAAACTCAGAAGTAGTAAGCAGAGAATTTTAATGGAGCCGTCTAGTGGACAGGCCAGCTATCAATCTACCTTGCACATTGAAGGCAAACCACTCACATTTTCCCGGCTCCAGTATCTACACAGTTTGCCTTTCTGCTTTCGTACCCATGTCATCTTTGGACCCAAAACGTAGAGTTTGCCTTTCATCACCATCCTGTAGGCTATGTCATATTAGCAAGCTTTGATGACTCTACCCCAAAAGTTGTCTTTCTGTTTTCGCATTTTCCGTCTTCATTTCACATGAAGACTCCACCAGGACAAACATGGAAAATGTCATAAAGACTCAGAAGAGAAGTAAGAGTTGTGGAGGAGGGAGGAAAAAAAGAAAGAAGGTTTTTGAGAAGACTAGTGCACCTTTTTAAAAAAGAAGTCTTTTCATGGGGCAAATAGTTCTACCTCCTTATGGGGTTATACAGAGAAAATTGTATTTTCCATGATCTTTCGTTTTCAGAGTGTTCCTTTAATACTTGCCACCCTTCAGAGACCACGTTTATTCAGCATTGATTAAAAGTATTACGGGGGCGCCTGGGTGGCTTAGTCGGTTAAGCGTCCGACTTTCGCTTAGGTCATGATCTCACGGTTCGTGGGTTCAAGCCCCGCGTCGGGCTCTGTGCTGACTGCCGGCTCAGAGCCTGGAGCCTGTTTCAATCTGTGACTCCCTCTCTCTCTGACCCTCCCCTGCTCACGCTGTCTCTCTCTCTCTCTCTCCTAGAAATAAATAAAAAAAACATTAAAAAAAATTAAAAAAAAAAAAAGTATTACGTAATTTTGTTATTTGGTAGCTCATTCAATATCCTGTTGTTCTTTCATTTAAAAATCAGGTAATATAAACTAGTCAGTTAAGTCTCATTACTTTATCCCTAGAAGTAAGAGTTAATGTTTTTATTGTACTTGCCCCAGACCATCCTGTGGGACAGGTTCTTTGATCTAGTATGAATACTTGGAACCAGAAGGATAGCTTTAGTTTCACAAAATGTGTAAATACCAGGAAGCACTTTTAAGAACGTAAAAGTCAGTGTTGGAAATAGGGAGAAGATTTTTATCCTAGGAACAAATTCTATCCCTGTTTCTTTCTATCCCTTAATTACAAAATGCTTATTATCATGTTTCAAGTAAGAGGTCTCTAGAATTACAGCCTCTAGGGTAATAATACATTGCTAGCAGATAGAAGTACGTGGAGCAAATCCCTGCATGTTTTTATATGGAGATTTGCTTCATTACTCCCTTTTTATAAGCGAAAACCCGGTAATATTCATATTCAGTTGGGGGTAGGTCTCATGAATGCCTTATGCCACCTCTTTAACAAGGGCTTGGATTAAAATTTCTAGTACCCACGGATAAGAGCAAGGCTCTTAAAGAAATATTACATAACAAGGACTTTCTATTCTCATGGTGCTTTTTAGAGCATATAATTTGTTGATAACAGTGTCAAGAGGTAGGGGGAGAAATCTCCCATCTCTCTTCTGGGTGGGACACTCTGAGATACTTCCTCTAGGACTTGCTTCTGAATAGTCTGGAATTCTGGGTCAGTTGGACCACCGCAGTCAGAAGTTAGAAGACCATGAGAACCCCGGCTGTGCTCACTTAGTGATTTTAAGTACCTAAATACAGAGGTAATGCCATGTGGGCCATTATCCTTGCAAGGAGCAGGATAGGTTCTGTTTGCTGTAGTTTGGATGAATAGGTCTTCTCCACAAGTAGACTCGAATCTTCACTCTCTTTATTTCTTATACCATCAAAGCTTTACTACCCTGCACCTCATATCCTGGGAGGCACTGGCTCATCACAGTCTAGACTTCTCTTTGGCAAGCAGTCTGCTTCAGTGTTTGTGTCCTATTCCTGAGGCTTGTCACTGTCAGATGACCCACAGAAGGGTTTGAGGGAAGCTGAGTGTAGCTGTCTCCAGAAGAGCTTATCAGATTAGTGACCAGGTCACGAAACTGGCTTCAAGAAATTAAACACAGACACGTGCATGTGCACACACGCTGTTGAGATGTTTGTGCTGCACCAAATGGGCTGCCAGCTGCATCGGACTGACCATGATCTTCCCTGTGTTCAAATGTGTTAAACATTCATGGGGAGTTGCAGCTGCTATGGTATTCCTTCCCAGAAGACTGCCCACACCCCGACTGGTCATTCAGTTGGTCACAGTTAGGGGGTGACTGGTAGTAGCTTCTCTCTGCAGCAAAAATTTTGCCGTCCATGTAACAGAGAATGCAGCTCTTTGGCTTTGATTTATTACCAGCCCTAGAAGAAAGAGGAGAAAAGATTAAGGAATAACTGAGTAAAAAGCAGAATCTTCTCTGTTGAAACTCGGTTATTGTCATATTCACTGTGACACAGGACTTCGTGAGCGGGAGTTAGGAAGCCTCCAAGAAAAGCAGTCTGTTGCTTTGTTAGGCGATTTTAATCCCACAGCCGGCAGGAGCAAGGACTAAGAGGAAAAGCTCATCAAAGAAGTTGTCTGGATGTGAGCAGGGGACTCTCACAAGAGAGCTGAAGGAGGGAAAGAGTTCCAAATTGGATGGAAAGCCCTGCTTCTCAGGAAAAATGAGACCATCTTGACCCAGACCCAGAGGCAGTGAATTTTATGGCCCTGGCCCTGCTGGTTGCTGTCTGTGTAACTTCAGGCCAGTCCCCAGACCCCTCTGGGAACTGGGTTTGGGCATCTGCAGAAGGAAAGAGCTGGAGCCAGGTGCTCTCTAGCCTTGACTGTAATGATCCAGGTCCCTCCCGGCTCTAGCTTTTGCTGTTTTTTTGCTTCTCATTGTCATGCTCAGGAGCCGGCACAGAGGGCACGTGGGTCCAGTGGGCCTGGTTTTCCAGATGGAAGTCATCAGCTGTCCTGCTTGAGAAGAAAGGGTGGTATGGGCCGGGCGTCCACGCTGTCAACTCCCTTTCAGAGAAGCATGCCTGGGGCTCTGCGAGTGCCTTTGCTGTGTCCAGAACACTCACACGCTCAGCTTTCCAGGGCTCTGGCTCAGCGACGGCCGTGGGTGTGTAAACCTGCAGAACACAAATTCCTGTCTGTAAAGCCGGTGGTATTAAGTTGACACTGTATGAACTGCTTAATGGTCCCTCTTTGTTCCCTTAATTGTGTTCCCATGAAGAGGTGAAAGGAATAAGTAATACAGGCAAATGGCTTGTTGTAATGAAATAGCTTTTAGCTTCCAGGTGGCTTTCAGTGAGTGGAAGTTCCTGCTGTGCTTAGCAGAATTTCAGAAAGAGACTCTGTTCTGCCTTTAGAGTGTCAGCCTTGTTAACAAACAGGAGCTGCAGTCTCTCACTTAGTCTGAGGCTCCTAGAATCCTTGATTCTCGTTAGGCTGTAACGCGGTGAGCTGTATCTCCAGGAGGCAGGACCCCGATGAATCACAAGTCTGGTTCATTTCCAATGAGCTGTGGGACATGTCTGAAGGACAGGCTGCTGCACGTGCCAAAGAATCACATTTGTAGGGTACCGTTATTTGTTAGGTGGACTTGGGAATTCCTCTGACCCCCTCTGTTCATAATATATCACTTCTCCTAGACAAAGTGCCCAAGATTGTGCTTTGCTCTACTCTTCTAATAGCTGGTCTATGATTATTCTTAATTTGCCTGCAAAACACATTGGATTCTTAGGACAGATGGGGCAGAATTGCCCTCCAAATTGAGGATCTCCATTCCCTCTCTCAGTGTGATGATGGTGTTTCCGGCTCGGTGTGGGAGGATGCGCGGCTCCTTAGGTACTGTGACCAGTTGTGACCTGACCCGGCTGGCAGGCGTGGGAGCCCGCAGACCAGCTGGTTCTCTCTGCAGAGACACTTGGCTGCCTGGGTCACGGATTTCTCCACAGACAGAGCTGCTTTTTCTCACTGAAATGCACACTGCCTAGCCACTTGACTCTCTTCAGAACAGAGATGGGTGGACTTAATTTAAACTTGTATTACTGTAAATGCAGTAGGAAGCTGGCTTTTGAGAGAAACTTCCCTGTAACCCCCAGGACCTGTGGAGAAAGGCTTACAAAAATAGAGAAGGAAGCACTTTGTTTCCAGTAAAGGTCATTCATTCAGGGTCAGTCAGAAGTCACTTGATGCCCTCCTGAGAAAGTGGGAAGGATTCCAGCCTTGGGGGAGTACATGTGCGCATGAGGAAAGAATCGTGAGGAGCGCATGAGGAGAAAGGAGGCCTTTGTGATGCCCCATAGCTAAGAACGGCTTGGAAGCGACTATCCACCCCGAAAAGCCCATGCAGAATACCCTGATGATGGGAGAGGCAAGGGAGGGAAGAACCTTGGATACAATGAAGTAAGGAAAGGGGAGTGTTTTAATCAAAGACCATTGAGATTTGAGGTGCGGGTGCATATCCAGAAAAGCAGTTGTGGTTCCACGTGACGCTTAAGTTATTTAGCTTCTCCTCCCGCCCCCTTTCTTCCTCCCTGGTGAAAAAAAGGAGCCAGGGATCTTGAATTTGTTTAACATAATCTGCCTTGGTGTTAACCACCCACGTGAGAAGTTCTATGGTGTTTTGTCTCGTAGGTCTTGGCCATGAGACCCTGGGTTCAGTCAGGGGCAGCCAGGGATGAGGACGAGCACCCTTATGAGCTTTTGTTAACGGCAGAAACAAAGAAGCTGGCATCCGTGGACGGAAGACCGAAAGGTATGCCCCCACCCCAACCCCGCTCCCAGCAGAAGCGACCTCGAAAGGATTTTTAAAGTTTGTGATCCTGAGTGGAAGGAGAGGACTATGTCCCTTGGGAGTTTGGTGTCATAGGAGGTGGGGGCTGTGGGTGCTAACTATGACCTTTCACTGTCAGTGCCCTGTGTTAGAGTCGGCTTGCCACCCTTCAGCCCGCAAATCAAGGTGGTGGGTAGGTCAGACCAGGTGAGAACCGTGGGAGCAGAGATGGCCCTCAGTGTCACAGAGGTTGGTTTGGGGTCTCAAATCTTCACCCTCAAGTGAAGGCTGTGGAAAAACAAACCCAACAGGTCAGTCCCTTTGGGTGCAGGCTGACGGCACAGACTCTGCTTTGAGTCCTGACCTCAGAGTGAGACACTCCTGGGGAGGGGCCCGCGATTGGCTGCCACCCGGTAACTAGAGTGCTCTGTCGCCTTGGCCTACTTTCATTGCCTCTGCAAAATTCCGTTTCCTCCGTGAGGGAGTGAGTGCCGCAGAACCGAGAGCCGGGCAGACGGTGTAAGCGCAGTCACGACAGAGGTGAGCGCGCTGCTGCTGGAGAGCGTGTGACAGCCCCGTTCTCAGGAAGGGCAAGAAGGGGCAGTGCCATTCCCCCTGCGGTTTGAAGGAACTTCTGTGGCCTCCCAGCTCTTTATACCTCTCAGGTACTAGGTCCCTCACGGGTTGTTATTTGTGCCTCCTTTAATGCTAAGACACTCACGGTTCCGGTAAGGAAGGGGGTTGTGGTGGGTCCTGTGGAACCCCCTCTACCAGGCCTATCAGAGGGTGGGGGCGGCAAAGAGAGCATGTGCGTATGCCTGTGACGTCGCAGGCCTTGTTTTAATGGTCCTGTTTACGAGGTTCCTCTTCCAGCATGCAGAAACTTTGTGGCCATTTTTATAGTGGTGGTTTTGTTTTGTTTTCTTCTGGCCTCCATTTGGAGCTTTTTTAAAAAGTTATAATTTAAGGACAGTAAAACTTCCCCCTTTCTGTGTACAGTCTTGTGAATTCTGACAGATACAGTTATATAACTGCCACCACAACCATGATACAGAACGGTTTCATCACACCAGAAACTCCCTTGTAGCCCTTTATAGTCCCTTTATAGCCCGTCCCGCACCCCTGACCTCTGCTTTTATGTCTGTCGCAAGAACTGTGCCTTTTCTGGAATATCCTAACCATGGGAACCCTGCAGTATGTACCGTTGAGTCAGGCCCCTCTCACTTAGTGTAATTCCATTCGAGATTCGTCCATGTTGTGCGTACCAGTAACTTGTTCCATTTCATTCCCAAGTAGTATTCCATTGTATGGACGCACCACAGCTTGTTCATTCTCTAGTTGAGGGGCATCTGGGTCATGGACAGTTCTTGGCAGTTACAAATACAACTACTACAAACATTCGCATACAGGTTGATGTGTGAACATCGGTTTCATTTCTCTTGGGAAAACACTGGGAATTGGATTGCTGGGTCCTAGGTGAATATGGGCTGCACTTTATAAGAAGCTGCCACACCATGTTCCAGAATGCTTGTACCGTTTTGGTTTTCTGTCAGAGTTACAGTTGCTGTGTATCCTCCCCTGCACTTGATATTGTCAAGTTTTCAGAATTATAGTCCTTCTGATAGGGTGCCTAGTGATATTTCATTATGGATCTGATCTGCATTCCCCTAATGACTCATGAAGCGAACACCTGTTAATGTGATTATTTGCCGTCCATATGGTTAATGAAGTGTCTGTTCAACTCTTTCGTTCATTTAAAAAATGGGGTTGTTTGTGTTCTTATTATTGAATGGTGAGAGTTCTTTATATGTTTTATACACTATATCAGATAATGTGATTTTCTCCTAGTCTGTGATTTCTCCTTTTATTCCTTTAACAGTGTCTTTTGAGGAGCAGAGGCTCTCATTGTTGATGAAGTTCAATGTGGATAAGTGGATAAGGTCACAACTACTTTTTCCTCTATTTTCTTCTAGAAAGTTTGTAGGTTTAGATATACATTTAGATCTGTGACCCATTTTGAATTAATTTTTGAATACAGTGTGAGGTATGGGTAGAAATTCATTGTTTTGCACATGGGTATCCAGGTGTTTCAGCATGATTTGTCAACGACCCTCCTTTTCTTGCCTTTGTCTCGTCGTTATTCTTTTTTTTTTTTTTTTTAAAGTTGGGTTTTTTTTTTAATGTTTTATTTATTTCTAGGAGAGAGAGAGAGAGAGACAGCGTGAGCAGGGGAGGGTCAGAGAGAGAGGGAGACAGAGACACAGACTGAAACAGGCTCCAGGCTCTGAGCAGTCAGCACAGGGCCCGACGCGGGGCTCGAACCCACGAACCGCGAGATCATGACCTAAGCGAAAGTCGGACGCTCAACCGACTAAGCCACCCAGGCGCCCTGTCTCGTCATTATTCTTGTTCAGAATTGTCTTAGATAGTCTAGTGCCGTTATCTTTCCATACAAAAATTTAGAATGAGCTGGTTGATTTCTACGCAACGTCCTGCTGGACTTTTATAGGGATTGTGTTGAGTCTATATAATAATTTGGGGGAACTATCTTAACTGTAGTGAGTCTTCTAATCACACTAGTGGGCTTTTAATTAAAACATTTAGAGCAAGTAGAGTAGGGCACCAATGTGCTCTCTAGTTGTTTAATAATAAATCATTTAAAATTATTTAAAAACAAGTTAACCCTTAGAGAGTAAGTAATTAATTTAATGCTCTGTTTGAACCTGGTTCTCAGGGAAGAATTTTTAGTACCGAGGAGGGAGATTATAATTCTTCCTCTCTTTCAGAGGCTCGATCTGGACCCACTATAAGGTAGCTGGCTCAGCCTTTGGAAGGAAAGAGAAAGGCAGACAAACTTCATAAATGGGAACTGGTCTCCTTGGCTTCCAAATGCAGGAATTTTTTTTTTAAGTTTAAGATTTTTAAGTTTATTTATTTATTTGAGAGAGATAGAGTGTGGGAGGTGCGGGGGGGGGGTGGAGGGAGAGAGAGAATGCCAAGCAAGCTCCACGCTGGCAGCGTAGAGCCTGACACGGGACTCGAACTCACAAAACCGTGAGCTGAACCCACGAGTCAGAAGTTCAACTGCCTGAGCCACCCCAGGTGCCCAAACTGCAGGAATTTTCTATCCCGAGTCAAGAGAGATCTTTAGGTTAAGGAGGGAACTGCCACGGAGGACTTAAGGCCTCCCATCTATTCCTCCTCTGCTTTGGTTTCTGTTTAGCTCTGCAGTACTGGGTTAACTGTTAAAAGAGTGGGTGGTGCGGGAAGCTGATTTAATTGAACCGCAGCCTGTGGGGTGTGCCTGCCTCCAGGCGAGCTGCTCTGATCACTCAAAGAGCTTTCCAACAAAGGAGTTGAGGCATTAAATATGAAAATGGGCTTTGCCAGTTTCTCTATAGGCCGGAAGGAATACCTGCTAGAGTTAGGAAATGTGAGGCAAGTCCGCAGACGATCTCATGGATTAGTATGTAGTCAGTCTTTTCTGCTTTTCCACTAATGTCCTTATCTTAAGCAGCTTTTAGAAATTAATTCATCAGTTCTCAAAAAGGCCATGTTAATGAGACGATCTAAGATTTCAGCCCTCCTTACTATAATTCAAGAACATACAGTATGAGATGGGATGGGAGATTGTTTAAATTGCATTTTAAGAGTACATTTGTATTAGCTCACAGGAAAAAAAATCAAACAATACAGAAGTGAATACAAGTAAAATGCTCGAGTCTCATCACCTCTTAGCTACTCACAGCTGTTTGAAGACCATAGATTGAAAGTGTAATCTCTGCTTCAGGCCATTTGCTATCTTTACTTAAAAAAAAAAAAAAAGTGACTATGTGAGATTGTTTTGTTTTTAACCTAAAATATATTTTACAAACTACTTACTCTTTTTTAATGGTTGTTAAACATCCCATGGCTCGGGGCTCCTGGGTGGCTCAGTCAGTTGAGCGTCCAACTTCGGCTCAGGTCACGATCTCACGGTTTGTGGGTTCAAGCCCCGCATCGGGCTCTGTGCTGACAGCTAGCTCAGAGCCTGGAGCCTGTTTCACATTCTGTGTCTCCTTCTCTCTCTGACCCTCCCCTGTTCTCTCTCTCTCTCTCTCTCTCTCTCTCACACACACACACAGAAATAAACAAAACATTAAAATATATATATATATCCCATGGCTCATTTTTCCATTCTCCAGTAGATGGATATTTATGTCGCCTCCAGTATTTCTCTGTTATGAATCAAGCTGCTGTGGACATTGTATATACCTATTCTTACATGCTTATAAGAGTATTTCTTAAAAGACATTGATAGAAAGTAGAATTAGCCAGTCAGCATGCAGGTACATGTCTAGATCTAACTGTGGAGCTGAATTGCTCTCCCTCGATGGTTTATGAGCACATGCTTTCCTATTCCTTTGCCAACTTGGGGTGTTAGCACTTGTGAATGTTTTTCACCATGGTAAGCCAAAAAAGTGTCATTTGTAATTGGCCTTTGCCTGATCTAGTGAAATTGAGCACCTTGTTCATTAGTGTTACATAGTCTTTGAGTGGCCTTCCCCCGCCCCCATTTTTCTACTTGGAAATTAATTAATGATAGCAGAAACATTTCCTATAAATACTGATAATATTTGGCCAAAGTGATACTCAGAGAAAACTTTATATCCTTCCATTTATTTGTTATAAAACAAGGAAGACTAGGGGCGCCTGGGTGGCTTAGTCGGTTAAGCGTCCGACTTTCGCTTAGGTCATGATCTCTCGGTTCTTGGGTTCGAGCCCCGCGTCGGGCTCTGTGCTGACTGCCAGCTCAGAGCCTGGAGCCTGTTTCAGAGTCTGTGACTCCCTCTCTCTCTGACCCTCCCCTGCTCACACTGTCTCTCTCTCTCTCTCCTAAAAATAAATAAAAACATTTAAAAAAAAATAAATAAATAAAACAAGGAAGACTAAAATTTAACCAAAAGAAAGTAACAGGAATTAATAAAGATAAAAGCAGATAA